ATAGAAAAATGTTAATTTCTCATTCATTACAAGCTGTGTTCCCATTGGAAACACATTGATTAGTTTGGATGAATTTGTAGTGGCTCTTGTCGCATAGTTAGAAAGCCAGAAAAATTGTGATAGTTATTGGACATTGTTTTCTTTTTGCATATTATTATTCTATGTTTTTTGGTGCATTATTTAATTAAATAAAACTTGTTTTGTTCACGAGAATAAATAAAAGTAGTGTCATTGACAGTTGACAGCAAAAAGAAAAAGGCCCAGGTAAGTGCTTTATTTCTTGTTTTTCATGTGTATGTTTTATTTACTATTATAAAAGTAACTAAAATGTAAAAATTGGAAATTCTTTAGGTTAATTAAGGTTAGATTAGATAAAATAAATAATAATATAATAATTTTTCATGAGGAACCCATGCAAGCAACTCGTGGGTAATGTAATTTGATAGCATAATGTGAGTTGCACATTCCCCAAGTGATTTACAATTTATATTTATAATGACGTGAATAGTAGTTAGACATGGTTCAAAGGGCAATAAAACAATAAAATGTAAGTATAAACAGATGTATATTGTTACCAGTTTAAAACTACGTAGGATAAACATGTAGTTTCAGGTTACAATTTGAAGTCATTCTAGAAAGAAAAAAATTATAATTTATATTTATTTCGATTCTTTTTAGTTGGTTATGAGGTTGGTCAAATTGACCTACCTTGTATAGAGTTAGCATAGAGAAAATAAAAAGATAAAATGTACATTTTACTGAAAAAAAAGTTTAAAATGTATTTAGCAGGTTTTAGAGATTACACAAATGACATTTGAGATTTTTGAGATGAGGAAAACTATTTTTAATTTTAACGTGAAAATCATGTAGCACTCGGACAGGTAAAAAAAACTTGATATATTCACGGACAAATCTTTCGTAAAAAATACTTCATTAAAAAAAACTGATTTTTTTCTGTACAAATGACTTGTAATGTTTACTAAAAGTCTGCCAAATTTTATGAAGATACACATCCTGTATTAAAACTATATACAAGTGAAAATGGTTAAGTGGTTAGTTGGAGGGACTGAGCCTATATCAAGAAAGTTTGTAAGTGGCTCAATGCTAAATATGCAGTACATGTACTCTACATACATAGTTTAATCTAGTTGGCTAGGATGAGGGAATCGACCAGGTGCATTCCAAATGTCATGAACAGGCTACAACAAAGTGTATGTGTATGAGAGATGTGCATGACAAAGTGTGAAAATACTGTATGTGCCAATTGGTGTGAATTTCCGAGAAATGAATATCAGCTTTCGTATATCAAACTGAAATGTTATGGCATTTTCACTGCATTGTTGGAGGTCTCGAAGGCAACATATAATAGAAAGAATGATTCCTACGTTATGCTAAGCAAAGAGTAAGTTGATTTGCAAATTACAATTCGAACCCAGAATGTTTTGTCCCCTGATATATATATTCTATTGCTGATTTCATCAAATAATGATGAAAGAAGAGCTGAGCACAAACTTTTCATTTAATACGTTTTGAGCTGTAAAGTGCCAATTATAACATAACATTTAAAAAAACTAGAGATCATTTGGTTCTCCAAGGCTGTTCTTTTGCAGTATTCAGTTGCAAAAATTGTAGGTTTCACACAGCAGAATTTTGTATAGGCCTTTTTTTCTTTAAAATTATTTGTATTATAGATAAAAAAAAAAAAAAAGAATTTATTTAGAGTTTGATGATTATTTTCTCACATAAAAGTGACTTATACATACTTGTAACCATAATTAAATAACTTGTAGCCAGTAAAACAGTTGCAGAACACGAGTATTTCAAAGTTGAGTTGGGTATGGTCTTGTGATTAATGCACTGGACTGTGAATCTAAAGATTTATTGTTTTCATTCCACTGCTGCAAAAATGCACTGCTCTTTGGGGCCATGGCCAAAGAATTAGCAGTTTCTGCTGTTCATTACTGCCTTCCCTCTCATCTTTCATTTCAAAATTAGAGAATGCTATGCATAGATAACTCTTTGGCTTTTCAAGAAAATTCTAGAACAACAATTTTGACAATTAAAAATGTCTTGGATTTGGCATTGATTTTCATGATTACACATTATCATTATATTTTGTATTACATCTAAGTAAGAAATAAACTACAAACAGTGTTAAATACAGTTTACTTTGAATATAGTTAATTATAAAAGACTTATTATTGTATTTTATGTATCTTCATTTTCATGTTATACTCTGAGAACCTAAGTGTAAAAATTTAAGATGTAGTTTTGAGCTTTCATGTTTTTTTCATTGTTGTTATTTATAGAGAGACATTTTCCATCCTACACACTTTAACAGCACCATTGAGTGTGATCCACCCAACAACAAAATTCATCAATTTTCAGGATACATGTGAGTCATCCAAACTTATGTCTATTTTTATGTATATGTTATTTTTCAGCATTAATTTTTTTGTCATTGATGATATACATGGACATACAGACAGAGTTTAATCAAAGATGAATACAGAACTGTGTTACAGTATATATCTGTAGAAGTGTTTTACACATCCCAGTGTTAAGTAGTCAGAGATACTTTTGTCTGGGTAACCTGTCTGATTAATGTAAGATATCTAAAATAATACTTAAGAAAAAATTCAATGTCAAAACATTCTTTTACTTTTTGCTATGTACATGGCAAGGACAGGTATCTTATTAAGTCAGTAATATCAACAAATGATTAATCAAGTTGTTTCATCACAGAAAATATGGGATTTTTCTCATCTGGTGGATAACTTGCCAGTATTTGTCAAACAACTTTTCCAACCTGTATGAATTATTAGATACTGTACCTTTTAAAACATATGAGCATTTTACCTTAGAAGTGCCCATTTCCAAACTTAATAAACTGATGATATAAATGTACAGTTAAAGTCCTTTGAAATATCAATGTATGTACTTGCTGATGAGTCAGTTGTGTGTTTCTCTAAGCAGTACGTAGTATTACATGCTTGACCTGACTCCTCCACAATACTCACACCTTAGTTATTCCCCTGTCTTTGACTTTATATAAATTGATATTAAAGGATAGATAGATTTTAGAGATTAATATTTGTAAAGTTTTTTTCTTTTAACAAAAATATAACTCCAAGTAATTTTAGAAGAACATGTTTTTCCTTATAGCAACGATACAGGGAGATCCTGTGTGTAGTTTCACTTCAGTCTTTGCTTTTCACAGGCTAGTAGGGTATCTGAACATCAGTGTATACATTGTTCAGTTGCCTCTAGAAGAACATGTTTTTCCTTATAGCAACGATACAGGGAGATCCTGTGTGTAGTTTCACTTCAGTCTTTGCTTTTCACAGGCTAGTAGGGTATCTGAACATCAGTGTATACATTGTTCAGTTGCCTCTTGCACAATAAAAAGTCAAGTTTTTATTTGGTTTAACTTTGGTTTCCAGCTTTCTTGTTTCTATTATGCGAGAGAATGACTTGAGAAAATGTAATATTTATCTTACTCTTAAATATATTAACATCAAAGTATTTTAGGTAAACATAAGGTAAGTTTGTTATTGTAAATTTAACCATTAGTGGTGAATTAAATAGAAAAATTATATTTAATTGGATTGGACAGATTGAAAATATGCTAAAAGATTTAGTGATAGTTGATTGTACATAGTTACAGTAGTGATTATGTATTTGTCTTGTAGTTTCCTCTGTAGAAGATTACTGAGCCAGAGTATAATACGCATTAGTATTATCTGTCTGTAAATCAGACAAGTTGCTTTTAAAATGTGAGATATTTGTTTTCACTCTTTTGAAAGTTCCTAGTGGTATCAAGAGCAGTGAAGTGTAAAATCATGTTGTACCAGTAACAGCATGAAAATAGGTCAGTAAATAATAAATTCTATGTTGGATTGTTATCAGACACACTGAGCTTGTTGAACTTTATAAGAGCTGCTTATCACTTAATCTATTGTATTGATAATGTTTTTTGTAAAGTATAGACTATTAAAGTTTAAGTGCAATTTTACATAATGTTAAAATGTTTTTTTTCTTATTTCTGTGATAAGGACCAATTATTTAATTACATCAACAATAAAAATTCTCACCTTTTTATTTAATGAACTTTGGTAAAGCTGGTTGTCTATGTTATTATGTGGATTCAGTGACAATTAATTTAGAAATAATATGATGAGTGGCTTTAACCTTTATAAAAACATCCATGAAAAAGCTTATTAGATAAAAACTTGTATTTATCATTTTAGTATTTTAATGAATCATAGATCATGTATCAATATCAACATTTGAGATGAAAGAATAAAGGTGTTATGTAATACAACATTATAAAAAAAGGAAATGTATACATATATTATAATTATCATTGAAAAATGTTCAAATCAAGTATTTTTTTGCTCAGAATGGATGTAATTACATTTTTCTCTATATGTATATTTAAATGTTTCACATATTACGTAAAGCAGCAGTAAGTAAGCTCCATACTGCTGTCACGTATTAATTATTTTTCTGCTTTTCCAAATACCTTAATCCTACACTTTTATTGTTGTTGGTGTCACATAATTTAAGCATTTACTATGTAGAATGCTGCATGTAAAAGATTTGATCATTGAAATTATTTTTCTCTTATATATTTAAGTGTTATATATTTTCAGAAATGTTCATTAAGTATACTAGCAGAAATAACCACCCTCGAGCAGGTATAACTGTTAGTTCCCGTGGAAGGATATTGGGCCTGTGTCCTTTTCTGGAATTGTCTGACAGTTCTTTAATAATTCACTCATACTTGACATTCAGTAATGTTTACCTTCCATGAGAAAAAGGATTTTATTGAAATTTTAGTTTAAAAATGAGCTGTCATCACAGCATTACATCATAGAGTAGATTTTATTGAAGTATTTTTTGTAGATGCAGTTATCAATGAAAGTACCTTGCTTTTCTGTTGCAAAACTAAAGAGATTTTCACTAAAGAAAAACAAATATTTTATTTTTAATTTTGTTTTTTGATTGTTTTATATTTTACAACTTACTCCTTTTTTTTGTAATTTTTATTGGTTAAATCTCAAACTTACTCCTTTTTGTTTGTACTTTTTATTGGCTAAATCTGAAACTTCTTTTTGTTTGTACTTTTTATTGGCTAAATCTGAAACTTACTCCTTTTTGTTTGTACTTTTTATTGGCTAAATCTGAAACTTACTCCTTTTTGTTTGTACTTTTTATTGGCTAAATCTGAAACATACTCCTTTTTGTTTGTAATTTTTATGGGTTAGATTCCAAAATTATTCTAATGTAAAAATCTTATACATACAACTGAGACTGAACTATAATTCTACGAAAGTTCTGTTTTTAGTTTTCAGCATGTCTTGTCCTATGGTGGTCAGAATAAGATTTTTTGTCTTAAGTTTTCCTACAGTGGATATTAAACTATTACCAACAAACCCTATTCTCAATGGTTTTTTTTATAAACAATAGGTCCATCATGAACAATACAATGATAGACTGTATAAAAGTACTTTTGAAACCTTGTGCCTATAGCAGGCATATTTTTTTTTACACAGTGAATACTTTATATGTAAATGTTATTAAGTCTGTAATTTTGTAACACAGACCTCGTAATCTTTAAGTACTATTGCGTGATAGAAATGAAATCTCAGATTTTTATGTTAAATGTTGTTGGTTTTATATTTGTCATCAGATTAGGTTTTTTAGTTTATCTCAAGTGTGATACTAGTGGGAATGTTTTTAATATCGTGTAGGTATTGTTACACGTTACATTACCACAATTTATTTTTTGATAAACTTTATATGTAGAGTAAACAACAACAGTATTGGAGACTTGTACTATATCATCACAACTCTTGGAAATTGTTTAAATGAAGATTGAGATAGGTCAAAATATATTCAAGATATTAAACATTTGTAGATTTCTATATATCCTATAAAATGCTAGTTTTTTAAACCAATCCAAGTATGAAGTAATTTAATTATTAGACAGGTTTTATGTAGTTGTATAGTAAAAATGAAAAAGTACTGAAATAAGCTTTTCATGAGAAGCAAGAAGTAAACAGAACTTTAAATACATTTACGTTCTCTTATGTTAGGCTCTTGGGGTTAGTCAAGATTGTGAGATGTTTATGCTGTTACACTGGCAGAGTATGTAGCTAGTAAACAGCAAAAATATGTTTAAAATAAATTAAATTTCATGTTTGAGTTTTGTCAAATATATATGAAACAGAAATGGCTCAACTAATTAGTCATTTATAGTGTCTTGGTTAATGTGTTAAAGAATTAGTTTCATTATTTTTGAAAGGAAATTTTTAATAAAAAAATTTTTCTTCAATATTTTAGTATCCACCATAATAAAGAAAATGTTCCAGTGAATAAAGAAAACCTACTTTTACGAGACTGTGTTGTGAAAAATACAGATTTTGTGGAAGGAATAGTGGTTTATGCAGGTTAGTTAATTCTTCCTTTCTCACATGGTAAAAGATTTGTGTGTATGAACCTTAAAACATAGTACTTTTCTTGATGTGTTAATGTGTGTATGAACCTTAAAACATAGTACTTTTCTTGATGTGTTAATGTGTGTATGAACCTTAAAACATAGTACTTTTCTTGATGTGCTAATGTGTGTATGAACCTTAAAACATAGTACTTTTCTTGATGTGTTAATGTGTGTATGAACCTTAAAACATAGTACTTTTCTTGATGTGCTAATGCGTGTATGAACCTTAAAACATAGTACTTTTCTTGATGTGTTAATGTGTGTATGAACCTTAAAACATAGTACTTTTCTTGATGTGCTAATGTGTGTATGTATGTGAAATGGTCCTTCATGTTTGTAAAATGTATGAAGGTTGTAAACAGCTTCTGCCATACAGTCCACTGGTGCTGTTAGTGGCTGATTTCATATTTCGATCCTTTGTTTATAAAGTTGGAAAATAAAAGTTAATTTATGGTGACTGAATTGTCCTTTCTTCTACCAACAAAACAGAGTTTTCTGGCCAAGCTAAGATATCTTCAAAGCGTGCCACTAAACTACAACGACCTTCAATCAGTATGGCAGCCCTTGTGGCCTCATGTTGTACAAAAGTAGTTCCTCGCATGCAATTTAGGTCACAATCAAATTTGCTAAAAAATTTTGTACTAGCCTGAATTTTCTTATAATTAATATTTTAATTTGTAATTTAAAGTTTAAAACATTGACTTAGTTTCTATCTTACAAATATTTTATATCTGTATACAACAATAAAGTTTATAAAAGTTGTATTACTGCACATTTAACATATCTAGTCTAGGCCATTAGAATTAAACTATTGGAGTCGTAGTACTCAACAGGGTCACACATAGTTATCTGTGAGCTTGTCTGTAGAAAAAACAACAACTGATTATGTGGCCAATGCCATGGCAAATAATAACAGGATATGAATTCAATAGTATTTATTTCTTGGTGATAATAAAAGGGCCATTAGTGGGTCTAAAACAGCAGGCACCATGACAGACTTGATGGGGGGAGACTAACAAGCCCTTACAAAACTCATTTTGTGGGTGCTTTCAGGTATCAGTATGTAGTCACCCATCAAAGTCACTGTTGAAAGTGGGACCACTTATTTTGTACATATTGAAGAAATGTATGGTCAGCATTTTTTTTTGTGTATTCTTTCTTTTGGGTTCACAATTTATTCCTTTGTGACTCGTTAAGTGCTAGATCAGTAAATATTAAAAATTGCAGTGCACTAAAGGTTCAAATAGTAACTTAATTTCATTGAGATACTGCATACCTATTAGTGAGCAGGGTGCACCTGTTAGTTGGAGCACAGTATTTCCATCTGGGGCTTGATGCTTGAGACGCAATCTGAAGATTCCCTTCAGCCTGATGGCAGGATCACTGTTTTGTTTTGATGGAATCCATAGCAGAAAAGTGTTGACATACCAAGAGGTTTCAGTAATAAGACTTGATATACTTTACAAGTGTAGATAAAGATATCTGTATTAATTTTTTTATTATTATTGTTTTTTGGGAACCTTCTTATGCCTCTTCCCCCACGTTACATTCTGTGGCTCTCACTGTAGTATATAAAATAAAAAAGGAGTGGTTTAAGTTTAGATAAACATATTTAGAAATACTAAACTCAATGCAGAAACTAAGTGCTTGAGAAGTGATAATTTTAAGTTTGTCTGAAGCTTTTGTTAGGGGGTCATTAATGCAGTTGCTGACTGATGAATTATTTTAAGAATTTTCATGTAAAGTATGTCAATCTAGACAACTTATTTCTGATTCTAATTAAAATAAAAGAAGTGTTTGCAAGATGCCTTATGTATTTGGTAGTGTTTGAAGGGAGTTATGCCACTGTATGGATACTTAAGGTAAGAAATAATGTTTCAAAGCATATTAACACATACAGACAGACAAACAAAAGAGCCATTTAAGCAAAGGCTGTGCATTGAATGTTTCCAGTACATACATCAGTGTTGTCTTTACTTCTTGTGTTAGTAAAAATGTTCAAAATTTTTCCACTCTTTTATTTTATGATTGATCATGATGCTGGTAATAAACTAATATGAATAGGGGATGAATGTGATTTCTACACATTACTAATTGCTTGAATGAATAAAATATAAAATATATTGTTTCTCTTCCTACTATCACAAAAGTTTTATGGTTTAAATGCATGAAATTTTCTTCTCTTCTATAAATCCATAATTTTTCCCAGGGAGGCCAAAAAACCCCTGACATCTCTTTGGCATCTTGCAGAATGTTTCCTATGTTAGCTTTGGAAACCTCCCCCTGACCAAATCTTGGTAATGACCATACACATGTACATGTGTATGTTAACTGGAAGTTAATATCATTCATTATATTTCAGGTTATGATACGAAGGCTATGTTGAACAATGGAGGACCAAGGTATAAACGCAGTAAACTTGAAAAATGTATGAACCGTGATATTATTTGGTGTATAGTTATCTTGGTAGTTTTGTGTTTTGCAGGAGCAACAGGTAAGCATAATGTTATCTGAATATTTTATATCTATAAATATAATTACTTGATGCAAAATTAAAAGACATCCTTTCACTGGATTTCATTTCAATTCAGTGTAATGTTGTTAGAAATATGATTTTTATTTTTTTTTTTAACAGTGTTTTACTCAAAACTTCACTTGAATTGTTCATAAGCTACAGAACAGGTTAAAAGTTTTTATGGGCTTCTATTATCTATAACTAGCGTATAGCCCATCAAAAATGATGGGGCAAGTACTACCATTTCCACCCCATAGTATACTCTGACCTCACATTTCATAGCTAACTGAAATAAATAAATTTTGTGAAATCAAGCTTGACCAACAAATAGGCAGAGAAGTGCAGTTGAGGCAGTCAAATGCTGGTAAATTCCTTTGTGAGCCAATCAAAATTAAAATAATTAATAAAATGAATTTGTGGCAAATTCATAGAATAATTATTGGTAAAAATCAGTTATATTAACAACATCTAATATATAGAAAAGCCAATGTATTCTGGTAAAACTATGTTCCAACAATGGCTTTTATGTCATGTTGCTCAGCAACAAAAGTATAACCTAATATAGTTTAATTCAGAAACTATTTAAGTTTAAAATTGAATAGACATGATAAATTTTATGCACTTGCCTTTAGGCTAGGTGGTCTCACACTGTCTTTACTTTAGGCTTTTATACCAACACTTGC